CTTTATGCTGACACACTGATGGTTCTGGGATCTGAAGCTGCTCTGAAATGGCTCCAAGTGACTTTCTGACTGGTTCAAGTCAATGATTTGCTCCTCAGACTTTGAGTGGATCAGATGGTTCTATTTAAACTGGATCAGAGGAGTCAGCAGCTGTAGTCAATCAGAATCAATTAGAAGAAGTCAAGAGGTCATGAAGCTAAGAACATTAGATTAACACAACTTTCTACATCATCAGAACTCATAACTGGAGATGCTGTATGTATATTTATGATCCAACTGTTTCTGTCATATCTCCAGAAGACCTTTAATAAATCTATGAAAGAACCAAAACTCATGATTGTCTTTGATATCAAAGATTCAAGTGTTTTAGTGATTCCATCATATAAAATCCAGAGTTATGGGAGTCATTTAAACTCAGGACTGACGTGATGAACTTGGTCTGTAGGTGGATGGAGACTGTTGTTTACCACCGTCCGTGTACCTGTGCAGGTGTGTTCAGGTGAGCAGTAAGCCGGCGATAAGCAGCCTCTCCTGCCTCTTCCCTCTAATCGCTGAGCTAATAGACTCAGTTGCCAGATTTGGCATCAGGCTTATTAGTGTCATTTCGCACAACAAGGACTGACCTGTGCAGATGGTGCAGCTCTGACACTCAACACATCCAGTTTATGAAGCTCTGCAACGACCTGCAGCAGCTTCTCAGTGTGGGTGTTCGACTGAATCACTGTTCGATATCTTCAGCTCCTGACAATTTACTGCAGAAAACTGTCACATATCAACAGATCTGATGCCCTGTTTCTTATCTGCTGTCGTTTTACCAACACGAGGAGACAAAACGTGGAGTTTGACGTGCAGATGTGATTGTTTTTATGTCCAGACAAGAAAAAGCTCAACAGAAATCTATCAGTCACAGACGAACAGCTGTCTCATGTGGATGTTTTACCAAATTAGTCTTCAATAACTTCAGAAATATGCAGAGAATTAACAGATAAGTGTCTGTTTTCCTGCTGTTATTCTGCATTTTACCAACACAAAGTTAAAGAAGGAGCTCACACTGTCCAACACACAGTTAAAACCGGCCTACAGCAGCTGATTCAGGTGCGTTTATGACCAAACTACTGTTTTATATCTTCACTTTCAGACATCTGCCTGCAGAACTATACAAAGAAATCCTGCTTTTTTCCTCCCGTTGCCGTGCATTTGAGTGTTTTACATGCACATTAGATGAAGAAAAGCTCCTCCTGCCTGCAGAAACACACCACCGTTGTATTAACAGCTGTCTCACGAGGACGCTTCACCAAAGCACGGATCGATATCGTCAGACATTTCTCCGCAGAAACACACCGAGAGCTGCCAGATGTGTGTCCACAGACCTGCTCTGACTTTGACAACACACGTAGATTCACACACAGATCGCATTGTTTCT